CCGCCCCCCAGCCCTGCCCCGTGCCTCCCCTTGTCTTATCCTGTCTCCAGGGCAGAGTGGTGTCAAAAACAGCCCCTGGTGCCTGGGCTTGTCCTGAACCCCCCCTGGAACGTGGGCGGAGAGGCCAGAGCAGTGTGGGAGAGCTGTGGCTGTGATGCAGGTGTCCCATTGTGACCCTGGAGGGTCTGCAAGGACTGCCAGGCCTCAGGGGTCCTGTGAGGTTTAGCCCCACGGCAGGCAGGGGAGTCACCTGGGGCATTTTGGGGTGCTGTCCCCACCCCACTGCCCCCTTCTCAAGGTGGTAAATCCACCAGCAATGTCTCCAAATGGCACCAAAAATCTGTGAAATCTCAAACAGGACATTGGAGAAATAGCATAGGTGGCTGTGATTGCCTCGGTAAGAGACACCAGGTACCAGAAATATCCTGTTTGGCTAGAGATGCAGCAGAACTGGGATCAACAGGGAAAAGTGACTGGGGCAGGGTTTTTTGCAGAGGATGGGTAGGTGGAGCTGGGGAGAGGCAAGGGCAGTGAAAGGGAAGGCCAAGGATCCTGTTCCCACTCCCCCATGGTTGAGGGCTTTGCAACCTGAGGAGCCCATCCTGCTCCACCTCTGTGTCCAGTGAAGGAACAGGGACATTTCTCATCTCAGAGTTACTGGCTGTGAAGTGGCCCCAGCAGCAGTGGCTGTGCTGGGGGAGCTGGCAGGATCTCTCCACCCGCTGACATGCTGGGCCCCTCCGTCTGCCCCCCACCCCCAATCTGCTCCCTACACTGGCCCAGGAGGCAGACGGGTCTGAGGAGATGGGTGGGGGCCATGTCTGGGCTGCATATGATGGGGACTCTGCCAAACTCCCATGCTCAGAGCTTGCAGACCACCCCCAGGGAGGTAACTTACTGCCCTATCCTGGGAGCTCCCCAAAGGAAGCCCTGCTGGCTGCAGCCTGCACCTGTGCCTCTGCCCAGCACAAGGAGGAGGCAAAAAGACCCTGCAGACCTTCCCAGCTAATTGTAGCCTGCTCTGCCAAGGAGGAAAGATGTCCCCAGCCCGAATCTGGCAGTTTTGCAGAGACACGTCTCCTCCCCAGCCCCTTGGAGTGATGGAAAATTCCTACTAGCTAAGATAACTCCACTAGAGGAAACCTCAGTTCCCAACCCTGGCTAGCAGCTCTTCTTCCTCTCCCTGATCTCCAAGCCTGCCTACTCCCAGTCCCATGCCTGGGGGACCACCATGATGCCTCTACCAGGATCCCCCTGGGCCGTGATACACAAAAGCGTTTCTCACCTATATGCTTTTTCAGCTGTTGATGTGGAAATGTGCTCTAAGTACGATCTGGCTTGCAGTCAGCCCTCCCTCAGGCCCCCCTGCCCCCATCTCCCCTGCCTGTATCCTTCCATGAGCATCACTGGTCTTTGGTACTGACAGGCCCTGCTATGCTCCTGGCCTCATCCTTGCAACAGCTAGCACTGGAGGCACTGTGGGACAGACTGCAATGATGACTCCCACTGTGATGTGAGTGGTGGGGAGGGACATGGGGCAGTGAGGCCAGGGTAAGGAGGAGTGGAAATATGGTAGTGTTGGCCTTACCCTAACACTGATGACCACACCAGCAGAGACAAATCCTTGGGATCAAGCCTTGCTGGGTGGGCACACGGTCTCCTAGGTGTGCCCAGACTGCTCTCCCAAAGCCACTCTCAGCTGGTGGCAGAGACAGTCCAGCAGCACAGGGCCTGAGAGTCAGAGCTGAGGGCTGCACAGCCCCCCCCCCACCCCCAGCACTTACCAGGCCCTGGTGGTGGAGCCAGCTGGAGGCTGGGACTGCCAGCAAAACCATAGCAAAGCCCCTTGCATGGAGCTAGGCAGCCATTGAGTCCTGAGATCTCCTGGCCTTGGGCTTCCAGGTAGTTGTGCCCATGGCTCAGCCCCAGCCATGCTGCAGCCCCGGGGCCTGGGGTATGAAATGGCAGAGGCAGTGGGGGATATTTGGGCTGTTGCGCCCTGAGGCAATCCCCCCGTGCCTGGGGAGAGCACGGAGGGGATTGCAGGATGGGCATGCCCTTCCCAGGTGCAAGGAGTCCAGTGGGGCAGGACCAGGGACCCATCAGCACAGGCCCAGGCCTCCTTTGCAGGGTTCTGACAGACCCCTTTATCTCCACAGCCCCGAGGGGTGGTGCAATGCCATTGCCGCTATGTGTTTTGCCAGCCCTCTGCAGCACCTGCCAACAGGCTCTAAATGGCTCTGAGCCTCTCCTGGAGCCTCCACCCACAGCCTTTGCCCATGGGCCCAGGAGCCTCATTTCAGCCTAGGCCTGGGCCCTCAGTCCCTGCTCCAGCTCTGCTGTGGGTGCACCTGTCTGCAGCTGCCTCACAGCTGTGCCCATGCCTGGCCAGGGACTTCATCAGTTTAGACCCTGACTTGAAGAGTGACTTCCTGGCTTTACCTTGAACCTGCCTTCTCAAAACAGACTTGCTCAGTGATCACTGGGCTGTGTTTGACCCTGATTACTGTCATTGGACCTGATCCTGACTCATGTTCCTGGCTTGACCTTAGACCTGCCTCATCACCATGGACTTGCCTGATCATCTGGACTCTTGGCTGACCCTGGCTACCACCTCCTGCTTGCCTTGCTCTTGTGGGCAAGACTCCTCTCCTGCCAGCCACGCTATCAAGCCCAGCTCCTGGTCCCCTATGAAGGGGTTGGTCCCTAACAGTCATAGTGAGGAGAAAAGAAGAAATGCAAAAGGAGTGAGATGTTACACAGCACATGTAAGCATGTGATCCAGAAAGAATTACATAAAGAAACACTGCTTAACCTGATAAAAAAATGTAACTGATCCAAAGGATTTTTGCAAGTACCTTTGTATTCTACAAATCAACAACAACTGGAAGCATCATTTCATGATCAACTGCCCTTAAATACTTCTCAGTAATAGTGACTTACATAGAGATAATTAAAATCAAGATGGAAGCTAAATGTGAGTCGAATTATGGCCCCATATACATGCAGTTAATGCCAACTACATCTTTTTTATAAAATTCAGAAAGCATAAGGTCAGACAGAACATCTACTTCATGGAATCCTATAAAAGCTTTAATTTTGAAACATGAAGCTATATTCAAGGGCCATAATATTTAAAAAACAAATTCTGTATCACACAGATAGCTTGCAGTTAGCCTTGAACGATAGTAAAATATGACTGCTTTATATATACATAATGCCTTAATATGAACTGACTATAGCTAGTGCATTTTTATAGCACAAAGTATTTTAAAATTTCAAAAATGCAGTATGAAAATTGAAAGATTGTTTAAGAAAAAGAGAAGGTCCCGAGATGTTACTTGCAGTGTTATTTTCAGTGTTATTTGAGTGTTACTTGCAGACTAGTGTTATTTGCAGGTACTTTAACTCCATTTCACTGTGTAGTCTCTGCCCAAATCGAGTTCAAGCTGGCTGATTAACAGGACCTTTGAAAAACAAACAAGCAAACAATGACTAACTCTGCTCTGAAGATGCCTTGGTTTTTTGTTTTTTTTTGTTTTTTTACAGTTAATATAAGGATAACAGATTCTCATTTCAGATTACAATAATTTATTCTTCTTTCCTCAATGTTTGTACCACTACAAAGTTACTTTAACTGGCATAGATTTTGGATTCCAGATCACAGGGCTCTGATCCATTCCCTTTTATTTAGTTGCCTTTTTAGCAATTAAGTTCCTTTTGTTTACAAAAAAGCCCAAAGCTTGTAATACATTTTAATTCAACTGTTCATACTAATTCCTTCTTTTTTCCATCCAAAAGAGAATGGAAAAAGAAATATTTCTGCTTGCATTCTTAATTCATCTTTTCAGTTATGTGCAAAGCTTATATATTTTTGGCTTGCTACTGAAAGACAGAAATAAACAAGACTCAATAAAACACTGAGTTTTGTTTAAAAAGGTGGTAAAATGCCAGTAGTAGAAGAGATTAGGTTGTCTCGCTCTATGAGAAAACTGGCAACACTAAATGCCATAGTAGTTCTGTTCATATGTGAAAGATGTTCTGCAAGAGGCTGTCTTGAAAGGCACTGCAATTACACCAACTTATTTCAATTGTCTTTAGGAGAGCTCGAGTTTATTATCTTGGGGTCACCTGACTTCTCTGTGATAACATATATGACAGAGCACAAAGGAAGACGGTAAGAAACGCACTGGATGCATCCAAACCATGTAGATTGAAATCCTAGCATTCTGAAGTTCATGGAAATTTTGGTAATAACTTCAGAAGAACTAGGATTTGACTTCTACAAGTGGGAACCCTGTGCTGAAGGCACAGGGAGCAACTAGAGCCTTAATCTGACATGACAGAAGAAATGTAGAGTCATGTAGAGACTCAAAAAGGATTTGTAGTAGCTTTTCCTTCCTTCGAATCTCACAGGTTGCTAGTGAGCTATTAAAATCAGTGAAAACCAAACAAGAAACAAAATCCACCAGTTTTTCACCAGTCAGGAGAGATTTGGGTTCCTCCACAGTAATTTCTACAGTGAAATGCTCCACTGCACAAGCTACATGATATTTACTATTTATTAAACAAATTTTTACTTAAACATTAGCTGACTATAACTCATATGTCTTGCTAAACACTGCAGCAGTGATTGGAGAAAATAATTCAGTAATTCTGTAAGAGAAAATTTTTATTGCAAGGGTACCTCTAATACGTCAGTGTTTTTGTTGCAGTAAAGAAATATTTTTAAATACAATATTACAGCTGAGCTCTGAATCACAAAAGTTTAAGAACACACAGGTAATTGTGAAGATAGCATATCCTCTTAAATTATATACTCACCTGTTTTGTACTGTCATAGGCCAGACCATGAGCAGATTCAACTGCTTCACCGTTCTGTGATACTGTCACCTGCTGAA